GGTCCGATTTAATAGAAAATTCTAGATTTCTTAACCCATTTCTACTAATTTTATTTATTTTAATCGGTGTAAATTAGATCCTAGAATATTTCTCCAATTTACTCAATAATAATAATAATTGATTTTATGATAATTAATTTAAATAGTAGACACACATGTATATATTTATAATAGATTAATAGTTAGAGCCCCATATTTATTCTTGAAAATTTTTTTACAGGTTCTCAACTCGGAAATTCCAATAATATGTTTTGGGCTTGAGCCCAACTTTGTAAACATGGGCGCGGATTAGGATTATATGATATTTGCAGCCCATACAGTCAAAAATTCAAATTTTTGATTTAATAAAAATTCAAAAGTTTTGAAAACAAAAACATCAATTAAACTATTAAACATTTTAATAATATTTTTTTTAACGTTTTAACAAACATCAAAATTAAATTGATTTGTTCCATGTATCAAAAAAAATTGTTTCCATAATACTTTATATTTAAATTTGATGTTTAAGAGACTATTGATTAGGATTTAAGTAATAGAATGTATTACTTAAACACTATAACTATATTAGTGCTAAATTCATAAAAATACAAATAATTTTATTTAAGTAATAGAATTGATTACTTTAAACACTATAACTATATTAGTGCTAAAATCATAAATACAAATAAATTTTTATTCAATACAAATTAACTATTAAACATTTTAATAATATTTTTTTTGGGTTAACGTTTTTAATAAAAATAATTGATATTTGTGATTTACGAATTATATTTTTTATTTTTTATAAAGTTTGTTTTTGAGAATAAAAATAACTGAAAATTTTTTAAAATAAAATTTTAATTATAATAATATTGAATATTATTTTTTTTAAATAGATAGAATATTTAATAGTTAGTTATTTATATGTTCAAAAAAAAGTCAAATTATTTGAGATTTAAAAAATTTTAATATGTGGCCAATCCAAATACAAAAACTAAAACCAAAATTTTTTAAATAAAAAAAGAAAAATACAATAATTTATGGCTTAGTTGAGGAAGAGCAAAATAAGATAGAAAAGTCCATAAATAACATGCCATAATCAAGTGCAAGTACAAAGTTTTTGAGCATTTACAGCAAGCAACAAAAAGTTGGCAAATAGATTGAAGATAAAAACCCAAAATCATGTTATTTTCTCTTACAATGTGGGTGAAGGATGTATAGACCAGACTCTAAACTCTATTCTTTAACGGAATAGTTGAAGACGCCAAACAAAGATTTCCATGCTTAAAGAATTGCCAAGTAAATTAAATCTACTTATAATAACAACTTCATATTTTTTAAGTGATAAACATCTGATTTTGAGACACATTTATACATCCATTATGTCTTCAAATTGCTGTTTATTGTAAGTGTTGATATCCAATAATAATATTAAAAATATCAGCTAGATATATATCAAGACTCTAAGCAAGATGTAAGTGTTGATATCCAATAATAATATTAAAAATATCAGCTAGATATATATCAAGACTCTAAGCAAGATATGGAACAATACAAATTCCAAAAAAATAGAAATAGCATACTTACAGAAACCTTAATTTATCAATTGAAACCCTAATAATCTCATTTACAAATCTTTTCCAGCAAATAAAGAAAGGAACACCCTCCATTCAATTTCAAAGCAATCCCAAAATTTCCAAATTTGACCAAATTCAAAATCAGAAAAAAGAGAGAAGCAAAACAATAGACCTTAAAGACAGCTTTTGCAACGAACTACTCCGACTTGAGAGTAAGTTGGTGCCAGAGTTTTCCGGGCACAACGATTATCTGAATCAATAAAACCATAATTTATAAGCAATTTTGTGTTGGTTGTAAAAATACCTGAAATAGCAACCAGATCGCTAAAAAAAATATATCGATATATATTGAGAGCTAGACATATTTATATAGATATAAATAAAAAAATTTAAAAAATTTTTAAAGTTGTAATTATCTAAATGTAATTATATTAAAAATAATAATTAGACAAGATAAAAGAATTTTAAAAACTTCATATTCGTAATAATCTATACATACCTATTAAACTTTCAATAATAAAATCATCCAATGAAAAACTAGGTTACATGACAATGATACAACACGATAGCTAATAATGAAGAAATGAACGTAATAACACGCACGCATATCTAACTGATAAAAGAACACTCAAACCACTAAAAGAATACAAGCACACATTATATATTACAAATTATTTAGAATAGATGATAAATAAATGAATTAAGTTTAAAGAAGGTGAAGAGTTATATATAATAAGTGTTTTGGTTGGATTAGGTTAAAATATGTATAATAATTCAAAATTTAAAAGTTAAAGTTGCAGTTTAATTAGGTTAGCTGATTAGATTAAATTAAGTTTCAAAACTTATCAATTATTCATATTAAATTAAAAAATTAATTGCATTGGCCACTCAAAATACCGAAAAATGAAAAAAAAAACTTAAAATTTTCTAAAAAAAAAAAAATACAATGATGAACAAAGAGACCGCGTTAAACATTTTCTTTGTTTCAGCTTTCATATATATTTATATATCGATTGTTCAAACATAATTTAATATGGACATCAAATAAATTCAACTCAATTAAATCATAGCAAATATGGATTCATTAGTCAACTAATAAAGATAGATTTCTTTATTTAATATATGGATATTACACATAACAATTATATTACATTAAACGAACTAATGTTTATTTGTTTAAGATTGAAAAATATTCTAATATTAAAATAAAAATAAAAATTTCTTAATTAGAAAATTTAATAGAAGATTACATATAAACACATGCAAGCCACGTTTAAAAATACATAGAAGATTAACATATAAACACATGCAAAGCCACGTTTCAAAAATAACTAATAAACTACCTTTGTTTGGATGGAGGTTATTTGAAGTAAATGTAAGGTAAACTTAAATTTTTAAACTAATAATTGAATAATTGGTTATTGGCTTAAATTTATGTGTGTTTTTCGGCCGAAAATCCCCACGAAGGACCCGAAAACATCCTTTTTGTGGTTTTGATAAAAATTGTTTTTGGGTTTTGATGGCAGTGCCGATAAAAATCGGTCTTATAAACCAATTTTGAGTCGCCACCCATTGTTTAGGCAAATGAGACCGTTTTATATAAAAAATGAAACTTCCAATTTTAAACCCAATTTTGTTTTAAAAGGCCAAATTAATTTTAAAAAGACTGGTCAGGCGCACCAATGCGATCTGGATAAGGGAATTGGGTACGCCCGGCCCGTTGGAAGCCGACGCCACGGAAAAACCGGCCTCTATTATTAACCCTATGATTTCTAATTTATTTTAGTTAGAAAAGCCAAATTATTTATTTATTTAAACCCAAACCCAAATAAATCGGATCCGAGTTTCTAATTTGGAAAATTATTAAATTCGGTCCATCATCTAAATTATCATATAGCAATTATTAAATTAAAGCAATTAAACCAAATAAAAATAAAAGACTCGCTCCTTGCCTTATGGTTCAAGGCGGGCGGAATCAAAAATATTAAATGGAATAAATAAAAGACCCGCTCTTGCCTTATGGTTCAAGGCGGGTAACAAACCGGATCCAAAAATATATATACAGAACAATTGAAAAATTAAATCCATAAACCAATAAAAATTCATACAAATAATAAAATAATAAAATTCATACAAATAAATAACTGTTCATAGTTGGGCATTCTCAGATTTATTGAAGAAATTAAACTTTACTTTTGTACAAAATTTATATTTTTTTTATTATTATTTCTGGAAAAATTGATGAATAGTACTGTTCATCGATGAACAAACAGTTACTGTTCATCGATCATCTGGGAAAATTGATGAATAGTACTTTGTTTCATTACGATGAAACAATTAGTTACTGAGTTTCATCGAGTCAATTCCGTTGGTATAAATTTCGACATCTGTTTCCTAGGATTTGGTCTAATCTCGACAACCAACAGGGGGTTTTGAGATTGACGATATAAGCTCTTGGAATGAATGCAACAGAACAACAGCAAACAACATTAGGTTTTCCTTACTGTTCATCGATCAATTCTGGAAAAATTGATGAACAGTTATTGTTCATTGAACAAACAGTTACTGTTCATCGATCATTTCTGGGAAAATTGATGAACAGTTACTATTCATCTATGAACAGCTGCGTGATTTTTGCCCAGAATCCATTTTTAAGTATTTTTTACATCATTTCTTGTTCAAATGTGATTTAAGGACATATAAAATAGCCAAATAGCCAGATGAACAGAAATAACAATTTAAAGAAGCTTAAATTACTAAAATCACAAATATAATAAAAACCACAAAATATGTAAAAAAAAATATTTTAAATATTAACGAAAATGTTAAAGAAAATTTACCTGATCCTCATAATGGAGGATTGTAATGGATCAAGAATCTCCAGAGAGCCTTTTTTCCAAGGATTTAAATGTGTTGTTTTTATTTTTTTAATTTTTCTTTTTATGGTTAAAATCACCTAAAATTTAAATATCTAATGCCAATTTTCTCCAAATTAACTCACAAGAAGTTTTCTAGAGGAGAATGGTGGCCTGCAGTAATTTTTTTAGGGTTTTTTAAGATTGTGGAAGTTGTGTGTAAGAAGTGTGGAAAATTTGTGAGAAAAAGATGAATTTATAGAGCTAGGTTAGGACTGTACAACAGGTACTGTAAGCACACGAACTGTAGCAATGGCTACTGAAGCACAAACGTCTTTTTCCTTTTTTTTTTAAAAAAAAATTTTTTAATTTGGTTTATTATTATTACTCATTATTTTTTTGTTTAAATCCTTTGGATTAAAAGTGTTTAAATCCTTGGATTAAAAGACTTCTAAATGGCATTGACCCATTCATCCTCGTATCATCATTGGATCAGGCGGGGCATAAAAACACGCGTCAACAATGTGAAATTTAAAACAACTTATTTATTTATTCAACATTGGGTAGGCTTAATTTAATCACAAAAGAGATGATTAATCTTATTGCTTTCACAGGTTTTTGCGGCTTGAACCCACTTGAAGAATTAGACCTATCCTCTAATATGTTTGGAGGCAATCTTCCTCGTTGTCTGCACAATTTAACATCAGTTAGATACTTGGATCTATCCCTCAACAATTTCACGGGGCATGTTCCTTCATCTTGGATATCTCGCCTCAAATCCCTCAAGTATATTGATCTTAGACAAAATCTTTTTGATGGATCATTCTCTTTCACCTTATTTGCTAACCATTCTCACCTTGAGGTAGTCGACTTTAGTGACAACAAAATTGAGGTTGAGACAAAGTATTCGGGTTGGGTTCCACCATTTCAGTTAAAGGTTCTTGTCTTGAAAAATTGCCATCTCTCTCGTATTCCTGAGTTTCTTCATCACCAGTTCAGATTAAAAATGGTCGACTTGTCTAACAATAAAATACACCAAAGGTTTGCCACTTGGTTGCTTGACAACAATACAGAACTTGCCCATCTAATCCTGAAGAACAATAGTTTCATTGGTCCATTTCATCTACCATTAAACTCTAGCTTCAATATTTCTAGTTTGGATGTCTCGGATAATTACTTCAATGCACAGCTTCAAGAAATTGGCGAAAAGATGTTTCCCAACATTGAGTTTCTCAATTTATCTAAAAATCATCTTCAAGGCGATTTTCTTTTCTCACCCGGCGACAACTGTAAATTGAGAAGCTTGGATTTGTCTTTTAACAACTTCTCAGGTGAAGTACCGGAGAAAATGATTTCGAGTTGCACTTCTTTGCAAATTCTAAAGCTATCTCATAATAACTTCCATGGCGAAATATTCACTGCCTTCCATGGCGAAATATTCACTGCTCGATTCAACCTTACTTCCTTATGGTCTTTGAATTTGAATGACAATAGTTTCATGGGAACTCTATCACGCGTGTCAGTCACCCAGTTCTCTTACCTATCAGTATTAGATCTGAGTAACAATAGATTTCATGGTGAGATTCCACACTGGATGAACAACATCACATATTTGTTTCACGTAAACCTTTCTCATAATTCTTTCAGAGGTGAAGTATCATGTGAATTTTTTTCAGCTATTTACGTTGACCTCTCCTATAACAACTTTTCTGGATCATTGCCTTCTTGTTTCAACCAGATTCCTTCAGAATTTAGAGAAACAAGGTATATAAATATGCAAGGTAACAGGTTGACCGGATCAATACCAGATGATTTTCTCAACAAATCAGGACTGTTGGTATTAAACTTGAAAGATAACAACCTCTCAAGTAGCATTCCCAATAAATTCGGTACATTTCCAGGTACATTTCCAAAATTACGGCTCTGGGCTCTTCTATTGGGAGGAAATTATTTAAATGGTTTCGTTCCGAATTGGCTGTGTGAACTAAATGAGCTCAACTTCTTAGATCTTTCAAGAAACTCTTTTTCTGGCTCCATACCCAACTGTTTATATAATCTCTCCTTTGGAAGGACGAAAGTTGATGGCGATCTTTTTGAAACACAATTAGTTTTTGGTAGCATACAATTTGGTCTTTACTTTAGTGGAGATGCCCTGGACATATATCAGTTATATGGAGAACAAAGAAATTATATCATTGTCGACCCAAAAATTGAGTTTGTTACAAAATATATGCCTTATAATTTTAAGGGTCATATTCTCAACCTCATGTCTGGATTAGATTTGTCGCAAAATAAATTAACAGGTGAGATTCCATTTGATCTAGGGAAGCTATTTCAGATTCATGCCTTGAACTTATCCTATAATCAATTGATAGGATCGATTCCGGAAACATTCTCGAATCTTACAGCATTAGAGAGCTTAGACTTATCTTATAATCATTTAAGTGGAGAAATTCCTTATGGCTTAGCAGATCTAGACTCCCTAGGGGCATTCTCTGTGGCTCACAACAATTTATCAGGTAGGATTCCAGACGAACGACATTTGAGTACTTTCGACAATAGAAGCTTTGAGGGAAATCCATTTCTCTGTGGATCTCAGGTGGAGAAAAAATGCAATCACGAGTCACTGAATTCATCACCAATGCCATATGCAGAACCAGAAGATGGAAAATGGTATGAGATTGACCATTTGGTCTTTTTTGTAAGCTTCACTGTATCTTTTGCAATTTTCTTTATGGGAGTCATCACTATTCTTCATGTCAATCCTTATTGGCGAGGAAGGCTTTTTCATCATGCTGAGCAGTTTGTGTTGTCATGTTATTACTTTGTGCATGATACTGTTTCCAAGTTGTTATTTGGTCGTCTATTCCATTAACAAGTAATAGGTAAAACTTATTTTAGATATATTTGGTCGTCTATTCCATTAACAAGTAATAGGTAAAACTTATTTTAGATATGCCATGGTTTGAATTTTGCTTATGAATAAAAGACAGTGAGTTCGATTTCGATATGTATTTATTGAGTTTATGACAAGCATTTAGACCAAAGATTCTCCAGGAATGTTTGTTGCACCTAAACAGTAAGAAATTTAATTTGAATTTTCCATGTATTTGCAAATAAAAGCAGCTTCTCAACTTTACAAGTCATCTGAAAAATTCTCATTACCACATGAGAAGCTTGAATTTTTGGCCCCTATAAGCCTGAATTATATATTCTATTGTAGTTTGTTGATATAAGAATGAAGCAGATTCAAATTTATTACTACAAATGCTATTATTGGTAAGATTATTGGTAAGAGCATTGAATTATTTGACCTCTTCTGTTTAGTGTTTTTCAATGTTAAATAGACCGAGAGGGATATTTGGTGAGAGAGGGATGGAAAGTGCCTTTTAAACATATTTCATATTTTTTATTAATTTAATTTTAAAATTTTAATTGATACAAATAAAATATAAATTCAAACATAACAAATAAATTGTCTAAATTTTTATTATAAAATATTCTTTAATTTTATTGAAACGACCCGAAAATTTAATTTCGTAGAATTTTCATTTAAAAACTAAAATTTTTATTTCAACCAATGAAATTATACCAGCTAGTATTTTATTATTTATTATTTGCTAATACTGGACCCGTTAAACCAATTCGAAAACTCGAAAACCAAGACAGTCGAGCCGAATCCATTGAAATTAGACCCAAAACCGGTTCGAGACTCGAACCGGGAATGGTCCTAGAAGCCCCCAAGATTTTTTTTTTGCTTTTTTTTTTCTTTCTTTTCTTTTTTTTCTTTTTCTTTTTTTTTTTTCCCTTCTTCTTCCTTGCGCCAGCACCAAGCGCGCGACCCACCCTTCCCTTCTCCTCCTCTCGTTTCTTTTTTCGACCGCCTGAGACCAGCGCCTCCTCGCCGTCGCCTCCTCGCCGCAGCAGTTTCGGCATTCCTTCCTCTCTCCTCTTTCATTTCTGGCGCACGCAGGAGGCGCAGGAGAGCCGCGACTTCCTTCGATCGGGAAATCGCGTCAAGTCTCCTGCTCCTCGACTTTCCGGCGACACCAGCTCATCACAGGCCCTCTCCTCATCTCTAGCATTTCTCCAGCCACCATCCTATTCATTATTCATTTCCGACCAAAATTAAGCATCGACAGAATTGGGCTTTTGAAGCCTTTTGAACAAAGGAGCTGCTGCCGATTGTTCTAACCAGAAAATTTCGATTTCCGGCGTGTATCGCAGCTGGGTAAGTCAATTTCCAACCTTCATCAATTTAATTTATGAGTTCTTGCTGAATGATGAAGGATTTGATTAATGAATTATGTTAGCATTGGAACTAAATCCCTAGTTACTACTGTGCATGCAATTTTACTAAGGAGAATTTAATTCTTCAATCTAATGTAAGTTATAGATCAATCTATTGAATATATTAGCATGAATAAGATGATTTATAATGTGGAATTCGGTATGGCATGAGAATGACAGCAGTAGGCTTCAATCCAAGCTATATGTATATATATATATATATATATATATATATATATTATGAAAATTTGAGGAAACCTCTAGATTTAAATTGTTTAATCTTAAGCACAAAGCTGAATTGATAATGAAAATTGGTAATGTTTGGTTATTACAATTTTTTCGTTGAGGTGTTAGAAAACAAATTTGATACCGGCGGTAAAAACTAATCTAACCAATTTGTTTAAGTTATTGCCTTGATAATCAGATATAAGAAATATTATCAATTAAAGTTCTTGTTGAGAAGGAGTTCATTGGCCTGTAAATGTACAGGCTAATATTCAGAAAACTCTGAATTTCTTTTATTTTGGCAGTGGCTAGTTTGGTAAAATTTTATGAGTTTTGCTAAATGAGTCCATATTAATATTTATATAAATATTTATGATTCGCATTTGACATTGTTTGTTGCTAAGGATTATAAATTTTTGTAATGATTTGATGAAAATAAAGTTGTATATTAATTCTATAATAAGGAATGGAGTTAAGTAGTGTATAAATCATAAGTGTAAGTGGAGAACTTGAAGAGTTCTCATGGTGGCAGCAGCTGTGTGGAAAATTTGTTACTATTTGAGTTTCAGTAGGCCATGATTAGATAGTTTGTCTCAATTAATAGTTAGCTGACTTTTCTGTAATAAATAGTAGAATTCTAGAATCGTCTAAATGGTTACCGAATTGTTCAGCTCTCTAAATTGTAATATGATTAGAGACTGTTTAAGATTGTAAATTGATGTTTAATTTGATGGGAACAAAGATTTTGATAATATATACAAAGATATGATGTCTAGCTAAAGATTTTGATAATATATTAAATTATGAGCTTAAACTTTTCTTAGGTATAGATTTGGCAAATAATGAGTTCAAGTTTTTTGAAAGTGAGTTGTTGAGCAAAGAGTAGCAAATAATAATCGTTAATTATTGGTATTGCTATGTAAAGGAGGATGGGCATTTGAGTTGATTGATTGCCCGATGGATGGGTTTGTGGATTGAATGAATACAGGGAGAGTATTGACATTATCTTAACAGGTAGATAGTCCAATTTTTAAGGGAGGTGCTGTCGAAATTTTGATAGAACTTAGACTAATTTTAATTAACAACATAATTAATAAGTTTATTTAGATTAGTTCTATAATTTGGTACATAATATTAGGTACATAATAAATATAAGCTCGATTAATTTATTATCTTTATTAATTCATTTAAATTATTTACATATTTATTTATTTATTTATTTATTTTCATTGTTTTATTATTATTATTAAGTATTATTATTATTTATTTATTTTTTATTTTGTTTGTTTTATTGGATAATATTTACTTATTCCTATTTGGCAATTTGATTTTGGATGTCCCTAATTGTGTAAATTGCAATTACGAATGTTTAATTGATTAAATATGCCTTGCATTTAATTGCAATACTTGATTAATTGTGTTGTGATATTGCTTGCTTTGTTTGTGTGGAGTTAGGATGAAGTGGGTCGCCATGGGGTTTGTGAGGACAGTTGGAACCCGTCGGCCGGGTTAAATGGGAGATTCGGCGGCCCCCGTGTGTACCTACTGGGTTGTGGTTTATATGATATGGAAAACCACAGGTTGGCTTTCTTTATTGGCCGCACCTGAATAATCTAAGATTTGATCGCAGCCCCGCAGGGTGGCCCTCCTGTTGTGAGCGCCTGATGATCTTAGATTTAATGGGAGACGACCGGGTTGGCCTCCTGTTGGTATGGAAAAAGAAAAGAGAGAAATGGGAAAAACAATGAGAGGGCTTGGTCAAAGTGAGGATTAGCTGGTCGGACCAGTAATGGGGATCGGCTCCCTGGTACACACGTTATGAGAGGATGGGCCATGTGGGAGACGGCTTCATTTCGGGGGTTCGGTGACGCCACAGACCAATTTCCACAGACCAATTTCCACGTGATGTGATTATATGAAGATGTTAATAATTGTGAGTGCTGGTGATATGCCATTTGTGTGACTGGCTATGTGAGCATATACCTAGTCGGATGACTAGGTTAATATATTTATACCATTGTATGAATGCGTGTGTTATGCAATAATTATTATTCATTAATAACTCACACCTCTTTTATTTAAATCTTTCAGGAAGTAGCATTTTCTAAATCTCAGCTATAACTCTGCTCTTCACTGTTAAAAAAAAAGAAATTCGTTAATTTTAGTATTGATCAATTAAATAGATAAATGTTCGAAGACTTATATGTATACATTCGTCTGTGAACTCCGCAGTTATAGAATTTGTATACTTTTAAGTTGTGTATTATTATAGATGGAATAATTCTGTGAGTCTGTATTATAAATATAGTGTATTGTAAGAAGGGAAATTCGTAAATGTTAAGATGTTATAAATTTGGGCCGAATGTTTAAAATTATATTGAGATAGCAAATTTGTAATGTTGCAGGCTTACTACGGGCCTCGGGGGCCTTAAGCTTACTTGGGCTCTAGTGCCGGTCCGGCCCATGGAAATGGGTCGTGACATTTATATACCTAAACTTGAAAATACCTAAACTTGAAAATAAGGTTTCTAATTTAGAACTAACTATTTATAAAAAAATTTATTTTAAAAATTTTTTAATTAAAAATTCAGGTATTACCATTGTTCTATGGACCGGACCTGTCGGTTTGACCAGTTTAACTGGGAACTGGATTGTGGTTATAATACCTAGTAATTTTATTTTTAAAACTTTCTGAATTAATCAAATAAAAATCTGAAAATTTTCTTATGGAACTAAGTGGGATGGATTTTTGTAGCCCAAAAGATCATATTGGGCCTAAGCCCACATCGGAACGCCAAATTTAAAACCGAAAACTCTACTAATAAAAGTTAAATAAAAAAATCTTAATTAAAATTAGTTATTTATCTTATATCAAAAGTTGTATTTATTGTTTTAGGACTTTTCTATTAAAAATAAAAACAAAACCCATTTTTATAGCATTGTGTTATTAAAGTAATATTCTAAAACTAAATATTATTGAATCAAATAATAAAAAGCCTAGAGTTTAAAAGAAATCTCTAGAAACATTGAAGGAAAACATTGAAGGCTAGAAGAACCCAAACCGAACCGCTAACTAAAGTTGAATCGAACCAAGCATAAAAGCAATTAAAATTAAACCCGTTAAAAATCTTGAAGTTTTCAATTTGAATTGGCCGAACAAGTAAATTGAGCCTGACCAGATATGGACCAATCAAGAATAGGAGAGAGAAACAGTCAACAAAAAGGAAAAAGGAAACTCGAAACCTCCTCTTCTCGATCGCAGACTGCGATTTCCCCCTCCCTTTCCCCGATCAGATTTCCGGCCACCAAACCGACGAAGCTAGGTGGCGATCGACTTCGACCTCAGTTCCGGTCTCCCTTTCGCCGATTGTAGCTTGACTAGGACGAATAGATGCTCTCTATCATGTGGTGACGCTAGCCTCCTCAGACCTGCTTTTCCGACTTCCGGCGAGTCCAAATCGGCAAGACTGCTATTGGGATGCTCCTCTCTTGTCGCTGACTATTTCCTTCTCACCGAACAGACCTCCAATAGCGCAAATCGAAGCTGTGAGGATTAGATAGCTTCCCTTCTTTGATTTTCCGGCAAGCCAAGCTCTTTCCGGTAGTTTCTTTCGCTAAGGTAAATCGAAAACTAGTCATTTCTGTTTGTATTCAGTATTCTTTAAATTAGTTTTTCTTAGGCTTAGAAATTGAAGGACTTTGAGATGTTAGGTTCTGAAGTTGTGAAATTTGAGGATTTGTTACAATATGGTATTTTCTATTGAGTTTGATCACAAAATTGAACTCCTTATAAATCTTGCTTTGGTTTGATGTTTGATGGCGAGATTTTGGGTCTGCCACCCCTCCTGCCACAGTGGACGGTGACGGTGGCCGGCGTCACTCTGCTGACCGAAATAGTCCCGAATAGGCAGAATGTTGGAGTCACTCTGCGACCGAAAAGTCCCCGAATAGGCAGAATGTTGGATTTGTATGTGGAATTCCGAATATGCAATTAGAATTGCAAATTGCAACCTGACCTCGATTAATAATTAAAGCGTTCATTAGCGCATATTTTGTGTATAGACTTTAAAAATCGAAAATGTCCAGAACTCAGTTATCCTTGTATTGCATAACTGACCTGTTACTTGGTAGCTAATAATCAGAAACTAAGTAGAATTGTTTAGCTACTTAAATCTATATATGTGGAAACATAGTTAATAAACTAAGAAGCAATAAAAATTTGGTACATAGGCTTCTAAGCTGAAAAATCTCAGAAATGGATGAAATAGCAGTTAGCGTCAGAAATGGATGAAATAGCAGTTAGCGTGACCTTAGAAAGACTTAGTCAGTTAGTTAACTAGATAATTGTTAATTTAGTTTAACTAGAATCGATTACTGTTATGAGTTAAAGTTGAAGAAGTTTTAGTTCTGTATAAATATAACCTTGAACCTTAATACCTCTAAGTATAAATTATAAACCTAAGAACTAAGAACAAGCAACTACTGTACTTAATTAAAATATAATTTAGTTGTTAGTAAAAGAATGTACTAACCTGTAGCTCAAATATGGATGAGTTGAGCTATTCACTATGAAGGGAAAAAGAACTATTTGTAGTTTGTTTATTTTGATAATGTAATTATATAGCGTTTTGATAAACTAAGAATTTGACGTTAGTTGGTATTAATTATGAATTGAGTAAATGTTTAGATGAATGAATAATGATTATTGCGGACGGGACGGTATTAGCTGTTGTGAATTGCCCGATGGATGGGCTTTGAGAATTTATTATTGAATTGATGGGCTTTGAGAATTTATTATTGAATTGTATTTTTAAGCAGGTGGTTTAATCCAATTTTTAGGGGAGGTTTTGCCGAAATTTTGGCAGAATCTAGATTAGTTTTACTTGTAAATAGGTTGTAGGATTTATTTAGGATAATCCTTTATTATTATTATTTAGGAGAATACTGTATTTAATTCTTTCCTCTCCTTCCAATTTCATTTTCATTAGAATCACTCTAGTTCGTTCATTGCTCCAACAAGTTAGAATCCAAATTATGGTCTTTCCTCATCTATCATTGTAAGTAATAATAAATAGTACATACTATTTGCATTATACGTAAATCATTTTTATATAAGGCTTTGTCTATTTATTTATTTTTCAAGTACCAATTATTATATAATTAGCATTTTTTGCTTTTATGTTTATTTGTATTTGCATATAAATGTCTATTTGTGCACTTGCATTATAATATTTAATTGTTTGATGTACTTGCATTTAATTGTATTTCTTGATTACATGTGTTGTGATAACGATGTGCTTTGTTTGTGTGGAATTGAGATGAAGTGGGTCATTGTAGGTTTGTTAGGGCGGTCTATGATACCGTCGGCCATGTATGGCGAGATCGGCGCCCCCGTGTACATCTGATGATATATATTATGTGGAAAATCACAGGGTGGCCTCCTATTGGTAATGGAAAAGAAAAGAGGGAATGGAAAAGTAATGAGAGGGCTGGTCAAGTGAGGATTAGATTAGCCGACCATGTATGGGGATCGGCTCCCTGGTGCACATGTTATGAGAGGACGGGCTATGTGTGAGGATGGCTTGTTGAGGGTTTTGGTGACCTCCAGACCAATCTCCACTTGTTTGATCATGTGAAGATGATATTGTTTGTGGGTGTTGTTGATATGCCATATGTGTGTTTACATGAATATTCATTTTTAGAATACTTAGGAGCATGTTGTGTGACTGTATGAGCATGTATTATTTGGTATTAATTACTGAATTGAAATACTCACTTTTTCTTCTCTTAATTTCTTTCAGGAATCTTGGTTACTGCCTCTATATTAGCCAGAAGCTCTGTATCCTTTCCTCTATAGAGCTAGGTAGAATAAAGTTTAGTTGAATTATTGGCTCTTCTTAACTGAATTTTCTTATTAGCTAGGTAGAATAAAGTTTAGTTGAATTATTGGCTCTTCTTAACTGAATTTTCTTATTATTGTATATTTTGTAGAGATCCGCAATTACATTAGGAAAGTAATATATGTAATAAGATATAGACATGGCCAAAATCCGGTTTTAGGAGCCGGAACTGTCGGTTTGCAATCGGTCCGAACCGGAACCGGAACCAGAACCGGTCGGAATCGGAATCGTAGGCCTACGGTTTGGTTCCGGTTCCACCATTTTTGGAACCGTGAACCGGCGGTTTCAAGAACCGGCTGGAATCGGATAGAACTGTCGATTTTCTGACTGGTTCAAATCGGCGGTTCCAGCATGTAGCAGCTTTTTTTTTTTAAAAATTTTTTTGTGAAATCCCCAATTACCCCTCCTAACAGCTATAAACGGCTATATAACGGTTAGTTTTAAGGGTATTTGTGGAAAAATAATTTTTTAGATTTTTTATAAATACCTCATTCCATTTACAATCTCTTCACACAAAATTATCTCTACTCTCTCTACTTTATATTATTCTTCTCTACTTTACAATTTCTCTAATTTTCATTCACAATTTATTATCCAATATATTGCAAGATAATTTCTTCAAAGTCAAATCTCCAATTATTTGTCCAAATTATTATGAATTAATTTCTTTAAATTCCAATATCTAATTATTCTCTCCAATTTTTTTATTCAATTTTTCAAATTATATATTATTTTTATATAATAGCAAGTGGAGGAAACTCAAGATCCGCTAAGGGTAAGGGAAATATTGGAGAAACACAATATTCATCTATCTCTACAAATGATATCTTCGATTTCACTCTCGACCAATATAATCTTAAGGGATATCCAAATTGATGAAACACGATTTCGTATGACATCCGATTCACTAGAAGCACAATCATGCGTGGATAAATTTAAACAAAAAATAAATTTAGTTGTTAAAAAAAATAAATTAAGTTCAAGTCTTTTAAAAAAAATAAATTTACTTCAATCATTTTTTAATTTTTTAAGTGTATTTTTTTTAGAAATTATTTCACAAATTTTTACATTTTAAATTTTGGAAACCGGTCTTCAAAATTTAAATTTAAAATTATGCGGAAAATCGGCCGGAACTGTTGGTTTTGGAACCGTTAAGGAACCGGAACTGGAATCGAAAATTTTCGGTTCGGTTCCAAACCGGAAATGGAACCAAAAATTTTCGGTTCGGTTTCGGTTTCAAATTTTTTGGAACCGGAGTCGGCAGTTTCGAAACTGTAACTGGCAGTTTCGGAACCGTGGCCATGTGTAATAAGATGTGCAATAAGATATCCAAAAATATTTGATCTCCAGGAATAATTATTTGAAAATTGTGAATGAAACTTAGTGCTGAATATTGTTGGGCAAGCTCCATATTGTGAATGAAACTTAGTGCTGAATATTGTTGGGCAAGCTCCATAGATACTTTTATGAATGCTGATGGATTGATCATAAAACAGGCTCGTGTTACTAATAATTGTCGAATGATGATGATATATCGAATTGGGCCTTGGTTTTCAGGTATATATGTTCATATAGAGTTTGTGTTGTGAATACTCTTTTTCGACTTAATGAATATTACTGGTGTCAAAGGCTTATTACGGGTTTTGGTGGCTATAAGCCTACTTGGGCCCTAGTGACGGTTTGGCCCATGGCAATTGGTCGTGACAAATTCGGTCCGAGTTGCATAAGAAAATCGCCAGTCTTAAGAATCGGACTAAATCGGATGAGAACGAGCTAAAAATCAGTGAATTGGACCAGCTAAAAACCAGTTGGATTCAAATTGTGCGTTGATTTTTTCGTTTTTGAACCTCTGTATATCTAAACTCAAAGTCTTAATATGTTAATTAAAAAATAATTAAATTGCTTAACTTTAAAGCCTCATGTGAAAATTATAATATATTTTATGATAATTAATTAATTTTTTTACTTAATTAATTTTTTTACTATTAAATTTAGTAATATTTTATTCTTTTTGTATAAAATCATTTACTAATTTTTTTTAATTTTTTTTGTAAAAAGCCAAATCTGAGATTCTTTTTTATTTGATATGAAAGTTTTTTTTAACCTATAATTTCAATTTTATTTAATAAATACATTTTAAAATATTATATATAAAAATCCGATTGTACCGTATTGAATTCGATTGCACTCTTTGATTCAATGAACTCCTACCTTCACTGGTTCACTTGGCGTTCAGGTTCTCAGAACACTGTGTATTACAACAATGTCATATATATATATATATATATATATATATATATATATATATTAATTTAGAGCAAAATATTTTTTTTTACCTTAAAATTCATGTGCAGCTAATATTTGTCGCGGCTTAAATCCCTGTATGGACTAATATCCAGTTAGACTAGAATCTAATTGCACTGGTCTCTACTACTTAAATTATTCTTCAAACAGCCACATACAAAATTATGAATATAAATATGAGAAAAGAACAGCCAAATACAAAACTATGAATATAAATATTTCTTTTCTCATATATAATATTAAGCATTCTACAATAATACAACTTAATCAATTCCATGATCTTTTTTTTTTTGAAGGTAAAACGAAGAAATGCATTAAGAAACATGATAATAAGAATAGAAACACTAAGGAATTGAATCTCACATACATAAGTTAGCATAAGATAGCCTATAAATTTCATGTCATCTAACAGTCTCCTAAATTAAATGTACTTAAAAATAACTTGGCTTGGAGGAAAGGAAGAAGTCTCACCAAAATTCAAAAGAACTTGCAAAATTGAAATAGTAGAAAAGTGAACAACCTAAATATATTCAATGAGAATTATGCATGGCGGGATACTCCAAAGAGTTTAATTCATGCCACAACTTTAATTCATGCCACAACAATAAAAATATGCGCATTAACATTAACAATTACTCCTTTCATCCCATTTTATTTGCTTGTTATTCTTTTTTTGGATATCCCATAATGTTTGCAAGATTTCTAAATTTATACATTTAAACAATTATTTTTTCTCTAATAATATTTATGATTGTTCATTAAATGAAAGATTCTTATTAATATTTAAGGATAAAAAAAGGGGTAAAATGATTTTTGTTGACTAAATTCTTAATATGCATGTTTTGTCAAATCATGCAAATAAAATGAGACAGATGGTGTATAATATACATATCGCAATTCACGTCATAACCTTTTTATAATCATTTATAAATAAGCAATCCATCATCAATCATTTCTTCACAATATTAACATATCATAGGGCAATCATTATTTCATTATCCATAAGTTCAATGTTAACGCTTGAATTTTTATCCTTATGCTCGATGGATGAAAATTCCTTTAATTCCTTAATAATTTAATGTTTGGTAATTTTCCAGATTGGTTTGGTTTAATAAATTTTTCTATATTTTGGGGCTTTGTTAGAGAATAAAATTGTTGGGTCTAAAAAACTGTTAAAGGTTAATACTGCTCATGATTAGAATTAGCTAATTAAAGATATTAAGATACCATTATATATTTAATTAATTGGAGGCGGAGTCTACTAAGAAAAAAAAAAAAAAAAAAAAAAAAAAAAAGGAAAACATGAAGAATAATATGAGAGGAATTAAGAGAGTGAAACATAATTGAATACAAAGACTAAGGTGTAAATTAAAAACCCAGTCGCTTGATATATGAAAAAAAAAAAAGGAAAGCAAAAACGTGAAAGGAGGATAAAGGAAAAGAGAGCAGAAACGTAGGAAAAGACAGCAAAAATGCAGCAAAAAGAGAAAAAAAGAAAAAATCTAGCAAAAAAGAAGAAGATAGAACATAAAGAAAAGGTACCTCGGTAATTAATTAACCTACAAAGAATTCGATTTGAGAATCAATAAAAGGTAAAAAAAAATAAACTCTTTTGAGCTGAGAGCATCAGTCTTTTAATCCATTCTTGTTGTTTTTTCTCTCTTTAGTTGCTTTGACAGAGGTTTGTATTGATTCATTTAATTTTGTTTCATTTTAATTCTATTTGTTCTGTTGTAAAATAATCATTATAATCATTTAAATATGATTTTTATTATATAAAAATGAATCTAAGTAGTGTATAATCAAATCAATTTAGTATTAATATGAATGAAGAATATAAGGTTTTATAGGTTAATCCAATCAATTTAGTATTGATATGAATTGAAGAATATAAGTTTTTGTCCTTAGAAAACATTGAAACTCATTTGTTTATATAAAAAAAAAAATATACTAAAACGTAGAGGCTTACGCACCTGTTGTTAAGCTTATGTACAGGTAACAATTCTTTGCGCACAAGTTGCTTGTTTGTTTATCAGATATAGACCGGTATATAAGAGACTTACGCATCTGTTGTCAAGTCTTACATACCAGTAATAATTCTTTATGCTTCAGTTAAACAGAGATAAGATACCAATTAATGGTTTTGATTGTCCTCATACTTTTATGTTGCTCATTTTGTTATACTATATTTTTCTTGTTTATCTTAATTCTGATTTTTTAAATAGGTTTTTTTATTTTTCATAATTTATATATTATTTATATATTATATATATATTATATATATATATATATATATATTGCCAGAAAGCAAAATGTCTAATGTTTTAAAACACTGACGTGACGCTCTAGTTTTAATCATTCTAAATTTTCCTGCTTTAGAAATTTTTGGGAATTTTTTCTTTTTTTCTCTTCAACTTTTCTATATTTTTGGATATATATCTTGTTAAATATTGTTTTGTCTTAATAGATAAATACAACTTTGAATTTTTTGAATATTTTCCTATGTGCAAAATAAATACTAATATCTGTTTATATATATTTATTTATATTGAACCTAAAACGTATAGAATTTTCAACTGTCTCGTTCCTCTCTCTATTTTGCTTTCAAGTTGGATTGATTTATGGCCACCTCCTTCCTACACCACATTCACACATTCACTGGAACCACCCGCTCAGTGGGTTGAAATTAAGTTTTGGCAATTGGATTCATCATTGTGTTGATGTACAACTTATTTGCTGCATGTATGCATATATGCTACATTCTCTTAGATTTTTGAATTAGAGGAATATATGGAAAAAGAAAAAAAATTAATTACCAAATTGTTTGAGTAATTTGCTTGACATTCAATTATTTTCTATTATATGAATAGTTATATAGACCAAGAAAATAAAAATATATATATTTTTTTCAATTTTCTGCATTCGTTAATTTATTTTTTATAAATTAATTTTTTTTTTTTCAAGATGTAGGGATACAGGGTTGAGTGTAGAGACATTGCCTGTCGATCTCCCATTGTATGGGTGATATTGACTCAAGATCCACTCAAGGTATTTCTAAATTAATTAAAATCATTGCCTAATAAGATTTTTTTTTTATTTTAATTCACATGTTTAATTTAATTTTTTTGGGGAAGAGGTTTGAATATGAACAAGGAATGAGTTATATTGAGTTCACTTATCGGCTTTTACAAAATTATGA